TCAATGATGAGACTCATTGATTGGCTGCCTCCTGCACGCCCCCTACTGGGGATTAAGCCCACAATCCAGGCATGTGCCCTGACTGGGAATTGGACCATGACCTTCTGGTTCATAGGTCGAAGCTCAACCTCCGAGCCACACCTGCTGAGCTATATTCTATTTAAGTGATAGTTTTATTCAATGACTAAATATCCAAACTTGAGAAATGTAATACATGTATTACTTGGGAACACAATTTTTGTATTAGTGTCGCAAAATATGTGTCTATTGAGTGTATGTGTTTGTATCTGAGAGAGAATACTATTTGAAGACTGGAAGCGCAAAAATACTTATGTTAGGAGATTTCATATAAATACTAATTTATATTACACTAAATATGGTTCTGTTTTTTTCTTTATTGATTACGGTATTACATATGTGTCCTTATCCCCCTGATTGCCCCCCCCCCCACTCATGCCCTCCCACCCCCTATTCTTGTATTATTATTTATCGTAGTATTTTTCCATGCGAACAACTATAAACCTACTTTTGCCTTACCCTATTAATAGAAAAATAAAAATAGAAAAAAATGGGATGCCAATGGTCAACAGTTCACATTAATTCTGATGAGATTAAGTAAGTGTAATAATTTTCTCAGGAAAAATATATCATCATCATGCACATTATTAATGTGCCTAAAAGGTTACTAATGAAATTTAGGCAGGCTATCATAATTATAGTAAAACTAACAAGTATTTATATTATTGTGATATTTGAAATCTGAAACAAGATATATTAATTACATAGCACTGAAATAACATATTTTTAGAAGTGACAAAAGTTAAGAATTCTGTAATAAAGAAAGAAATTACAAATTGTTGTTTTTAAGGTATGCAACATTTTCAACAAATAATGGATTAAGTTCTAAAATATTTGAAATATGTAAAAAGCTTACTCTTGGGATATGTGCTCAGTTCTTAGTAACAATACTATGTTACTTACAAAATACTTTAAGTATAGGAAATTATAGTTTTAAAAGCTGCAAATTGACTCCCTGGCCTGTGTGGCTCAGTTGGTTGAGTGTGCATCAAAGGGCTGCCGGTTTGATTCCAGGTAAGGGCACATGCCTGGGTTGCGGGTTTGATCCCAGGTTGGGATGCATGCAGGAGACAACTAATCCATGTTTCTCTCTCACATTGATGTTTCTCTCTCTTCCTCTCCTTTCCTCTCTCTCCCTCTAAAATCAATAAAAACATATATTTTTTTTAAAGTTTCAAATTGTCTAATTATTTTTTACTTGAATATTCAATCATGTTCATTGGAACGAAGTATCTCCTACTCCTTTTCTTTATTAAACAGGTTGTAGGAGGAAAGATGACTGAATCAGGTCGGCTCTGTGCATTTATTACCAAAGTGAAAAAAGGAAGTTTAGCTGATACTGTAGGACATCTTAGACCAGGTGAGGGACCCCCGAGTGCACAAATTTTTGTGCACCGGGCCTCTAGTACTACAATAATACTCATATGTATAATTTTAGAAATTATAATGAGTTATATACTTGAATCCTAAATACAGTGCAAAAAGTTTTTTTACCTGTACAGTTTGTTCTTTATGTCTATATCTGTGTTTATATTCTATTTATTTACTTATTTATTTACTTATTTATTTATTTCTTGAATATTCAATCATGTTCATTGGAATGAAGTATCTCCTACTCCTTTTCTTTATTAAACAGGTTGTAGGAGGAAAGATGACTGAATCAGGTCGGCTCTGTGCATTTATTACCAAAGTGAAAAAAGGAAGTTTAGCTGATACTGTAGGACATCTTAGACCAGGTAGGTTTCTATCTTTGATTGTTCACATTTTGACTGTTACACTTGAGTAGTTATGAAAAGTTACCCTCAAATAGAAGTGATTTGACTAGTAATAAAGTGCTCATTTAACCTAAATAAATTTATTCATTAATGGGAAGTAATATTATTTCTTGAACCACATTAGATAAAAGGATTTACTTATTTATTTTTTGATTATTTATTTATTTATTTATTTATTTTACAGAAGTTTTCCTATAGAACATAGTGAGAAATATTAGAAAACTTTGGGTGTAAGTGGACTTGGGCAACTAACATTTATTGGGTGGCTGCCAACTCATCTGAGCACTTTACATCTATCATTTTGTTTAACAGGCACAACAGATTAAAAAAGCTTAGAGAATTGTCATAACTTGCCCATGGTCACAAGATGGAGATGAAGGTGGGATTTAGATCCAGATCTGCCCAGTATCATGTCAGAACAGTGTAGTGTGACGGTTAGGAAGTCTTGGCTTGATTTCTAGTTACAGCAATGACTGGGTACCTGACATTGGTCTTAGCTTCAGACTCCTCATCTGTACAATGGAGATAATAATGCTTACTGAATTGTTACAGTGAGATTAAATATAGCAATATATAAACATTTAGTATAGTGTCTGACACGCTATTAGATATCAATAATATAGTCAATAATATTATTACTATTAAAATTTGTCAATTCAAAAATAAAATTTTTTAAAAATATCTAGTATTCATCTGTTTTGTTTCCCATAAGCTTTAACTTTTTTTTTTAAATTCCAACATAGTTTAGGAAAAAGACTTCATAGATAAATGTCTATTTCCTAAAGTGTGTTACTCCTTATCTCTAACGGATAGGAGAGATCCTGACATTTAATTTTCAGAATCAAATATAGGAATAATTAGTATTAACTGTACTGCAATTGAGTTTAATTCATTGCAGTTAGGGAATAAATACATGGAATAAGACAAATTAATGGTATTTTAAATCAGATATCTTTCACTCACTTTAGAAAAGGATAAATACTATTTTAGTCAACGAAATTAGTTACTATTGTTTGCTTGGCTTGCTATAAAGTTGATATATTGACTGAATTGCAATAAATGAGAATCAAAGCATTACTTTTGTAAGAGGCTACTCTTGATGGTACATCTATGACTCCACAGCATTATTGGAAATAATTTTTTCCCCTGACCCTTGGCCTTTTGGGTGAAATCTACCAATCATCCTTGTCATCAAATTTTATGCCACTGAAGCTGTTCTCAGCATGTTTCTTATTTCACAATGGTCGTTTTACTTTGTGGAGGTTATTGCAGCGTAAGATTGCTTTGTTTTGAGTGCATGTGGGATTAGATTTTCTTTCTAAGGGGATCATTACTGATACACACCATAGGTGATGAAGTGTTAGAATGGAACGGAAGGCTGTTGCAAGGAGCCACATTTGAAGAAGTCTATAACATCATTCTGGAATCCAAACCGGAACCACAAGTGGAGCTGGTTGTTTCAAGGCCTATTGGGTGAGTGGGTCTGATCACTTTTCATATGTATAGAGTTGACTACATTAAACCATTTATGAAGCGCAATCCAAAAATGTCTGATTGCTTTATCAAAATACATTACTTTGAGGACATTTCTTTTACTAAAAACACCTCACCAAAAATCGTGACATCTCTGTCTGAAAGTTAATTACAAAAGAAGAAATATTTATCTTTTTATTGTTTTTATTACTTTAGTAACTTAGTAGATGGTTGATGGCATTAATAGAAGGGGACTGTAGTAACAATTACTTTTAAAGGAAGTTTCATGAACTATGGTCCTTTATATTGCAAAAATGAGGATAAACTATATTCCATGATTTTTATTATTTTTTTTCCAAAATGGAGATTTCAACAAAGAAAGATAAAAGTATAAGCAAATGCCAAATACTCATTTGTTTTTATAATTTGTTACCTATAGATTAAATCAACAACTTTCAGAAGTTGGCAATAAATATAGTCCTTTGCATCTATGTTATGAGAATTGTTCATTATCACAGTAGTCTTTCCTTTATAGAAGCTTATATTCTAAGCCAACGTAAAAGATATACCTAGAATTAGAAAAAGCAATTAAATATTGTAAACTGACAGGGAATTATTAAATTTATGTTCATGGAAAAGCTTTCTAGGGTATAGGCTATAGAAATTATTTCTTGCTATAGAATATAATGCCTAGTTTTCATTCATTTAGGAAAAGATTGGACTATATTATTTTGCTATCTTTTTATCCTGTAGAAAATGACTTATGTTGGTAACTTAGTTTTTGAAATGTTCCTTTCAAAAGTAATGAATCTGGCACATGAAATTGTATCTGTTTTTCATTTTGTCTTTTCAAAGTTTTTTATTATGTTAAAACTGTACTGTATCAACCTAGAATATTAATCAAATGTATTTCTTCATATTAAAAGATACTCTAAACATTTTTGTTTAATGTCTTAAATATTCTTTTATGTAATTTTCTGAATGATCTTAACCATTAATATCTACCCCTTTTGGCAAATCTCAAAGAAAATGTACATTTTTTGTGTGTAAATGCAGTTACGTGGTAATTTTGTAAGTCCCAGTAAGGAACATGTTTACATTTTTCTCAGTGGAGTTATTACATTTAAAAAGTTTCAATCAGAATCTGAATAATTAAATTTTTGTTTTGGTGATACTTTACTTGCATTTTAATATTATTGATTTAGAACAGCGGCAAGTAAAAATACAGAATGGAATAGACTTACAATGTATCTATAAAACTTGTTGAATGCAGACATTTTTTAGAATGGGCAATTGTTTAGTGAGGCATATAGAAAATAAAGTATATGTTTCTATACATCTGCTATAAATGGGTATGAATTTTAATATTTTTAAATTAATGGTCTTAACCAAGAATATAGGTTGATAATGATGAAAACAGTAGTTGCATTAATTGTTGCAACAATTTCTTGTTTTCCTTTTCTATCATTTCAGAGATATACCTAGAATACCTGATAGCACACATGCACAACTGGAGTCCAGTAAGTTTCATGTGTTCTAGAAGAGAATGTTGTTACTAATGTCATTCATCAGGAGAAAATGAAGTATCCCATTCGCCCCATTTTTACTCTCCAATTTGTTCCTTCCCCTCCATTCAAATAATTCATGCATATCACTTCTGAGTACTAAACTTCACTTATGCTCCAGTAAACCTTCTAAACACTTTGGAACATTGTGGCTAGGAAAGTGGAATGACATTCTGTGGACATTAAAAATAAAATTGAAGAGCTAGATGGTGAAGATGATTAAATACCAAGGAAGAGCCATTGTTGTTATTCTTTATGTGTGATTGCCATTTCAGGTTCTAGCTCGTTTGAATCTCAAAAAATGGATCGTCCTTCTATTTCCGTTACCTCTCCCATGAGTCCCGGCATGTTGCGAGATGTTCCACAGTTTTTATCTGGACAACTTTCAGTACGTAATCACTAAATTAATTTCTCTTTTTGGAATATCAAGTAGTGTTTTTATTATATGTTGCTAGTTTTTGGTAAACCAAGTTCTTCTTAGAATATAATTGTGCCTTTAACCATCAACACCCTCATTCTTAGTAATTAATTGAAATTAAAATTTAATTATTTACCATAGTGCTTTCTTTATTAGAGTTAGGTTTCCTGGAATGTAATGAGCTTAAGAATTTGTGAAGATATCTACAATGTTTTTTACTTTAGTAATATTCCAAAATTCAAGGTTATGATTTTTGCTCAATATCCTAAAATGACTATAAAGTGTCATGAACTTTTAAGGGAAATAAAAATTCTGCACTATACAAAGATGGTATATGTAAGATAAAAGTAAATATTTATGTACTTTTCCTGCTTTTCAACCTTAAGGAAATTTTGAGTGGGGTAAGAATATTGCTCTGAAATATAATGATACTTGAGATACTTTTGTCAACAGACAAAATTAAGTATATGAGTAAATATATAATTGACTACTGAGTACACCAGATGATTTTATATTAAATGATCCCTTATTCGAACATTTTATAATGAAAGTTAAAAGTTCAATTATGTGTTTTATGTCTATATTAGAAGAGCTTTGCAAATGTAAGCCCTCACTTTTTTGTTAACTTCTTCAATTTTATTTCCCTTTTTAAACCATTTTAAAATGTTAAAATATTAAAATTTATCCATCCATATTTTAGAAAAATAAGGTTAGTATTGACAATAATGTCACTAAGTTATTAAACTTGAAACTTTATGGATATTAAGAACTATTTAGAAACTAAAAATTCAGACACTGAGTTTTGTATAAAAATTATCCATAAAAACTAAACTATTCTTGGACTAATATTTTAAGAGCAAAAGGAAAAATCTTTACTAAATAAGCTACAAAACTTCTTTTATATTTTTAGGAGAAAGGGAGATGTTTGATTTTTACTAAATTTTCATTAATTTAAAGGGGATATAGAAAGTATAAGCACACTTAGTATATTAAAGTTTATTGAACAAGTCATTAGACATGTCTGTTCTGGAGGTATTTTGGTCAAAAAGGTGACAATTAAAAACAGTTATGCAAGGAAAAAATTGAGCTACTGTTAGGAGATTGTAAATGTCTTACTAAAGTAAATTTCTTCTCTTTATTCTTTTTCTTTCTCTTTCATAAACAGAGTGAACTTTTCATTTGAGGACAATGGTCTTTTTTATTTTTCCACAATAAGTAGAATCTTTCTCCTTATTCTCTTACATATATTTTCAGTACGAATGTTGTTATTTATGGTTACAAATATATATATGTCTTTTTTTCTCACCATTTTAGGAAGTGGTAATAAATATTAGCTGTTTTTCTTTTTTTATGGCTGTATTTAAATAGTTCATCTTTAAGTAATGTTTTGGGTAGCTGGATGATGCCAGTATATAAATAAATGTGTGTGTGTGTGTGTGTGTGTGTGTGTGTGTGTGTGTGCAGTTGGCTTCAGTTGGTGGAAGAGGAAGGAGTGGAAGATATACTTCCATGATAAGTACCACTTTGTTATCTCATTTAAATTCCCAAGGCCCTCTTACAAATTGGACTAGGAAAGACTTAGACAAATTTCAGATTCTTCGATTTTTCCTCATGGTTCAAAATGAATACAGTAAAAAGGTAAACTGTTAAATATTTAGGGGAAATATAAACATAAAAGTTTTACTTATAAATATTTATAATGTTATAAAGTTATAGTACTTAAATTCATAAATGATGCTGGTTTAAAATCCATGTAATTGTAATTTTAAATACATACCATTTTATCATTTTCTTATGAGTTAGAAGAAGTATGTTCCAATAAGATAATCTTTACAAATATAATATTTGTTGTGGTAAATCTAGAAAGTATAGATAAATAAGTAAATAACAATAAAAATCACTTATAGTCCTGCCACTAAAAGATAACTATTCATATAATTATAATTTTTTAAACAAAACTAACAAATTCATGTATACTATTTGGAACCCTTCTTTTTCATTTACTCATATTGTGCAGTTTTTCCTTAGACTTAAAAAAATTTGCTTAAAATGATTTTAATACCTATTTATCACTCCTTTTTTAACTTAATTTGTTATAATGGGATATTTTGTTTCTCATTTATGTTATTATAAATAACGATGCCATGGAAATCCTTTAATATAAGTCTTGCATATTTTGTTAGGACAAAATATTTTGTTGCGATAACTTTCCAGAATTAAAATTGAAATATGAAAGGAAAAGAAAATTTTAAGGTTCTTGAGATCTACTACCCAAATTTCCCCCAAAAATATTTTGGCAAATCATCTCCAATTATCTATTTAAGAAATATATGTTAAGGTCTGATTCCAGTTCAGCCATAATACTAGTAGCTCGGATTACAACAGTGAACAAGATAAACATGAATTTTACCCTCATGAAACTTAATTTTATTTATTTATTTATTTGTTTTTTTAAAAAATATATTTTATTGATTTTTTACAGAGAGGAAGGGAGAGGGATAGAGAGTTAGAAACATTGATGAGAGAGAAACATCGATCAGCTGCCTCCTGCATGCCCCCTACTGGGGATGTGCCCGCAACCAAGGTACCTTAATTTTATACTTATTCTTTGCAGGCAGGAAAATATGAGCATTATACTCTTTGGATATAGTCTTTCCCTTTATATTTAATCCTATTTCTGCCATCTGGAGGCAATTTTGGTATGCTGTAATGATGTAGAGGTTGGAAAATGTGTGTCCACGTATATCACCCTTTGGTAACACCCCTAGAAAGTCACAAGGCAGCATCACAATTTCTGTATCCTTGCATCTTATCTTTGGGCATGATTGCTTTTGGTGAGAGTTTACCAGGCCCACAACTCGTTTACAAAATCATGACATTGCTAATGCATGAGAAAAAAGATAATTTGCCTAATATGTGAGCCCTCCTTCCTAATATATTTGTGTCAGTTCAAGGATTGATATATCCTCAAGTGTAAAATATACATACAATGCAAATGGTTGTTTAAACTTTCATGCTCAAGGTTGTTGATGATTCTTAAAATATTATGCAGTGTATTTCCTCTCCATGCTTGAATTGTGCTGCTGCTTGTGGTTATTCTAGGGCAGTGATGGTGAACCTTTTGAGTTCGGTGTGTCAGCATTTTGAAAAACCCTAACTTAACTCTGGTGCTGTGTCACATATAGAAATTTTTTGATATTTGCAACCATAGTAGAACAAAGACTTATATTTTTGATATTTATTTTATATATTTAAATGCCATTTAACAAAGAAAAATCAACCAAAAAGATGAGTTCGCGTGTCACCTCTGACACGCGTGTCATAGGTTCGCCATCACTGTTCTAGGGCATGGCTAGGAAAGTGCCATTAATGTACGTGGTGAGACAATCAGTGTGAGTTCATGTTCATGACACCTGGACTATATGTTAGCCTTTTCACTGTCAGCACTCCCATGTGGATTAAAAAAAAAAGTGTTCTTCCATATTGAGCAGTTTCCTTCTTCAGAGAATTTTACTTTTATAATCTCTCAATATTTTTAAATTAATTTGCAGTTTGGGGCTACTTTTTGATAATTAAGATAAAAATATAGCTCTCCTGTCTTTTAAAAGTGAGGAATGGCTCAGAATTCTCGTTTACTATAGGAATACACTGACTTTTTTTTGACAATCTTATTTTACTTTAGGGCCTGCGGTTGTTTTATGGTTGCAATGTTTCCCAGAGTTACTTTGTTTTAATATTTTTCTGACTCCATTTTTAGTGATGAGTTTGTAAATGCTGTACCTATCCATTACATATGCCCCTTTTTAAAGAGAATAAGTAACTGAACAATAGAGATACATCTTTTATATCTCCTTAGAAACTCTACACTTTTTAAAACTTTCTGCAAACTAAAGTTTTTTTCTTTGAGCATTTATCTTTCATCCCTATTGTCACAGTCTTGTCATTCCAGAAGCATTGCTTAAAAGGAGTGTCCTAAATATAGCAGTACAGTATATAGTAGAAAGTGACATTGAAAGTGCAAAATAAATCGTGGTGTACAAAATCATATTCTTTATTTGGATGAGGCTGAATTGTTACAGATATCAGGTATTTCATGTTTGAAATAAATGAAGTAATGTTAATTACAAGTTGCAGTGAAATACATAATACTTCAATGTGAAATATCCAGAATCCATAGAGAAAGAAGCGGCTTAGTGGTTGCCAGGAATTAGGATGATGGGGGCACAGGGAGTGGTTACTTCACAGATAAACGATAGCTTATGGGGCGATGAAAAAGCTTTGAAAGGAGAGGGAGGTGGTGGTTGCACAGCATCGTGAATGCGCTAAATGCCTCTGGATTGCACACTTTAAAATGCTTTGTCGAATTTGAATTTCAACTCACTTAAAAAATTAATAAATCAAAATATGTTTTTATAGCCAAGTTTAAAGTGTGAACTTATGGGTGAAGATTATTTAAATTGTCACAGAATTTAGACAGTTGATTTCGAAATTCCATGAGTTGCCCTTTTGAGATCATTTTAGAAGGTTGACAATGATTGCCTTAAAGATTAGTTTACTTTAAAGTACTGTTTCTTTTAAAGTAATTTTTTAGTTTATGAAGTAATATTTACTTCCATTACCTTGATATTTTTGGTGTAAAACAGGTAGAACAGGTGAGAGGGCAAGGAAAATAAAATCTACTAAATAAAGTACCTTGTTAGTGCTTTTCTTTTTTCTTTATCTGAATCCTCACCTGAGGATATTTTTACATTAATGTTTAGAGAGAGTGGAAGGAAGAAGGAGAGACACAGAGAGGGAAACATCGATGTGAGAGAGACACATCGATTGGTTGCCTCCTGCAAGCGCCCCTCTTGGGGCCAGGGGTCAAGCATGCAACTGAGGTACGTGCCCTTGACCAGAATTGAACCTGGGACCCTTCAGTCCTCTGGCCAACACTCTGTCCACTGAGCCAAACCAGGTCGGGCATTAGTTCTTTACTTTGGTGTACCTACTTAATCTATATGCATTTCATACATCCCTTCCCCATCTGAGTTGTGCAGACAAGGGTCAGAAACACACTCCGTATCAAAACATTTCTTTCTTCCTTTGGATGGGTTTCCACACAAAAAGGAAGACAGCTGAGATTTGGGACTCCTTAGTTTTTGGAGAGAGAGAATGAGGATGACTCATGATTGAATGATAGTCTATTTTTAAGGTCTTCTTCCCTCTAGGTCTTAGATTTACGTCTTACAAAGTGTAAGTCTGATGATAGGTAAATTGGGCACCAGTCCTCCTAGTCCCTATTAACTGCTTCCATCTAGCAGGGGAATTAGACAAGAGAGACATCCATGAGAAATGTAAGGAATGGAATGGAATTTTGGCGAAAGAAGCAAAATTAAATGCCTTGAAATCCATTCCCAAACCCAGAGATACGCATCTGATTTTGTTCCTGATTTAACTGTGGGCATGCCTTAATAAAGGCACACAATTCTGATTGTTGTGGTGTTTTTGTTGGAAACAGTTTCAAATGAAAACAAAATAAGTCAGAAGAGAAATGAAATTTGATTTTACTCAAAGAATATGAAATAGAGTGATTTAATCAGAGGTAGGCTCTATCTTCTACCTTTATAGTATCTTACCTTTTGTTTGAGCATCTAGCTTTTTTTTGTGGTGGTGTTCTGTTTCTCTTTCCTTATCTGCAAATTGGATATAATACTGACAACCACCTAGTGTTGTTGGAGGCAATAAACTTGCAATAAACAGTCAGTAAATGCTTGGAAAAATATAGAGAACTATATAAATAAAAATAAATAAGATACGTATTTTCATTAATAGGTATGATAATCTCAAGAGGTACATAATAAATGTCTGAAAATGGTGTAAATCCTTAAAGTATGAATTACCTAATTAATCCAGTGCGTTCCAGCATACTTTTATCTTACTGTTATATTCTTTTAACAATTAATGCTAAGCCAACTTGACTAATGTTTTTTAGATTTTTGTTAGTCATATCATTTTGGACAAGTCACAGTTCCTTGTAAAAATGTCTTTTCACTAATAATTCTACAATGCATTCTTATCTCATGTCATTTGGATTGTGATTTTTTTTCTATATAGTGTGTTTAAGGGGGAAACCTGACATTTCTTGGCTATTGGGTTCCGTTTGTAATTATTCTTTCAGAATTTATGAGACTGAATATGTTATTTTACATTAGGTCTTAATTTCTGTTGTTTTTATTATTGCAGTTAAAAACTTATTTAAAAATTCTAAGATTTTATATATTTTAGCATTTTGGCAAAATTAATTTATTCATTACATGATGTAATTAATTTAGATATATATTGTCATGGGAAAATTATATTTGAGGGGTGGTAGTTGTACGTGTTTGTTTTTACTTTGGTCTTTTAGTTCCAGCGTGTTGTCCTTTTGGTTTTGTTTTATTGCTTTTTTCTTTAATTTTGCTTACCAGAGCCAAAGCCTTAGTAGAAGAACAACGCCTTTTGTTCCTAGGGTTCAGGTAAAGGCCTTGTCTGCCTGATAGAAACTAAAGCTGTGTTTTAACCCTTATTTGTATGTTTTTGGAAAATGCATAGTAGGAAAACATGTTTTGGTATGTTGCTCCAAGTCATATTATTGACTTTCAAATCATTTTATGAGCCAGCTTGTAAGATTCTGCATGGGGATTAAAATACAATAAAAATTTAAAGAGACAATTTTTGTTAGTGATTTTATATGATGAACTGAATACCAAAAGTCATAGATACAAAGTGACATTTAATGTAGACTCTACTTACATATGTACCATCAAAAGAAAAAGCTAATTTAACTGTTGATATTTGCCTTTGTTACACAAGGTTGCTGTCTCTTTAAATCATTCATTATGTCACTTAACATCTACATTTGTTTGCATTTTCCAAACAATAACTCCTTGTGGAGACTGGCAAATAAATTTGTACCTTATTGAAAATATGAATTTTATGCCTATTATATATAAGGTTCAACATTTGGAACATATAATACTTTGAAAGAACAAAATCACAATCCCCAATTAAAAAGTGTTGGGCTTATTTTGTTTACATTTTGTAATTGTAATTTCATTTAATTTTTCTATAATAATTGGGTACAAGTTGTTTGCCTCTTTTCATTAGGAAACCCTTATATGGTAAAGTAATATCAATATAGTTTTTAAAAAAAGGTAGTATTACTAGTATGCTTTCCTTGCTTTGCTGCATGTATTTTTTTATTGTTATTGCTGGTTTTGAGTAATACCAATTTAGTTTAAATATTTAAAAATTAAAATTGTTCTAGTTAATATTATATAGTATAAAATATTTACTTGTACTACTCAGGTTCTGCTTAGGAAATTTAAAAATGGTTACATGGTTAAGCTGGAATGATAATTATGTTAAAACAATTAGAATAATACCAAGAGTTTTATTAATGTACATGAAGTAAATATAAAGACATATGTCATATTTAGAATTGTGAATGAAATACATTTGTTATGTTTTGGAGAATCAACAGATCTACTAACCATTCATTTAAGAAGCACAGATAAAGAATTTCAAAATGAGATAAAATAATCTAGCTAATAAAATGATTATATTTTGATAATGTGAACTGGATATATATTAAAAACTTCAAGGCAAGCCCTGTAATATAAAATGAAAACTGGAGCTATTGATCAAATGCCCAGTTTAAGAGAGTTTATTAAAAAGTGTAATTTTGATAAAAAATCATTAAAATTAAAATGTGCCTGTTTCATATCTATCTATTTAGACATTTATATACTTGTAACGTTTAATTCAATAAGCTCTTACATAGTATAAAAATATGAAAGTTATATGCCTAATATTTGTATAAAAATGGATATTACTAAAAAGTGCTATTATTTTCCATGGCATAAGAAAATCGAAAAAGAATACTCTTTATCAGACATTCGAAATATATATCTCAGATGTTTCGCTTTAATGATTTCAAAGGAGTAAAAGTATTGCCTGTGGCGATGGCTTCAAGTACTTAGTCTCAATCCTTAAAAAAAATAACTCACAGAAATGAGCTTAGTTTAATAATCATCATTGTTTCTTTGTTTCTTAAGTATAAAGTTTATTGGGAAATTTTTTTTAGCTTTTTAGTGTTTTTTTCTCCTTACGGTATCTAATATTGAATTTTTAATATCATAGAAAAATAAAGCAATTGGCTTTTTTTTATTTCTATAGACAGTAGAGAATATCAGAGATTAATCTGGTTTTGATCACACATTTTAGAGGAACCATGATGCATGCTACCTGCAGACATCTGTTCATGCCATACACAAGACACTCATTTCTTACCTTTTTTGCTGTATTTTCCCTTCATGTCTTTTTCCAGAACAACTTAGTCTTTTCCCCACTTCCCCTCATCTGTATCTATGTTCTGATATTGTTAGGCAAGCAAATATGTGAACTTTTTCCTCCATTCAAATGTTAGAGGCTTTTCTTTCAGGTTGATCCCATAATCTAAGGCCATGGTTCTCAAACTGTAATGTCCGTGGGAATTGGAGGACTTTGTTAAAATGGTAATTCCTGGACCCTATTCTGATTCACTAGGTGAGAGGTGGGCCACAGGAATTTTTAGCTTCTTCACAGATAAACCAGATAACCCTGATGCAGGAGGTCTGTGAACCGCAGATTAGCTGGTCTGTTTAAACGGAACAGTTCTGTTATGAAGACTTTTTTTAACACAGCAGCAAGATAATATCTGCATTAAACAAGGACTTAACACAACTAAGAGAGTAGTAATTACAATTTTAAAAATTTAAATATTTCTTCTGTAGTTCTATAAGAGGGCTGATTCTATTTGACAAAGAAAAGAAAAACATATAAATAATTTTATATACTCTTTTGGGCCATCTGTCTTCCTCTTCTCTTGCTCAGCTTCTCAGTCCCTAAAATACAAAGTGAGGGAGTCAACAAGCCCTGTTAGCTTGGCCCAGGCCTGACTGTCCACTTTAGAGAAGAGAAGGAAGGACTGACATTAGATGTATATTTAAGTTTTGTAGATGACTGCAAAGTGCATATTCAGGTGGAAGGAAAAATCCAATAAT